TCTCTCTCCTCCTCCTCCTCCTCTCTCTCTCTCTCTCTCTCTCTCTCTCTCTCTCTCTCTCTCTCGTTTAAGGGTAATGTAAGACACGAATCCATGATAGACCGCCGTTTCTCTACATAGATAACCTGTTACAGGTATATAATAACATCGACTCTCTTCTCTCTGTTGGAGAACTTCAATGGAAACACACCCCGGCGTTCTTGCGGTGTCTCCGCCGCCCGCCCGCGACGAACTCGAGTTTGGCAAATTGGCTTCTCGACTTACAATCAACCGCATTCCACAAACGTGTTACACGTCCGCTCGATATATCTATAATTTCTCCGGCACAATGCTCATCGAGAGAGAGACATCGGACTATCGATGGTCGGATAGCATTTACATATTATGTATAGTATGTATACGTACGTATGTATACATACAACTGTATCAATTATGGATCGATACATTAAGAAAGTTGAGCGACGAGTCGCTGGGAATTCACTCACGAAATCCGTCTTTCAGCCGGCCGCAGTGATCAAAGTAAATTCGACGGAGAATCGCGGGATGAAAATAATCGTCGTGGATTGACACAAATCCCGCATTGATGTAAAAGAGCAATTTATATTTCCATGTCTCTCTCTCTCATTGTGCAATGAATTATCACTCCATTCATTTCAGCGCGATAAATATTACCTCTCTTTTGCTACCTCAGTGAAAATATCTCTTTCGAATAAATTCTAATTTCATTCGATATTTTCAGAACACGGTTTATTACAAAAAGCTGTAATTTATACAATGTCTACCGGCGACATATAATAATAATTCTGCGAAATAAAGGCAAAACTTTTCGTTCGAATTGCGGATTTCGATGCAGTCACAATATATATTCCAATGACTGTCCAAACTTATTTCTTGCAGAATGTTACAATTTTAATTAGCATTTCGTTCAATAGTAACGCGCACGACAAAATCGGGAAATACAGACAAATCGACAAAGTCAGAGTCAGCGAGCTATATCGCAAATAGCCTGTCGCTTAAAAATTCAATTTTCCGTGACGTTTCGTAAGAAAGTTCACGCTTCTCGATGGAATTTCCGAACATCTCATTCCTTGATTCTCGGGCCAGAAGTGGCACATGATGAAAGTCACCCGGAAGAGCGAGAAACGCCGTCGGGAAAGAGAAATTTGTTCTGCTAATTCGGGTGATGTTTATTCTCCCAAAGCTAACAGCCGGCAGTGCCGAGACGCGTTAATTACAGAGCACGTCTAATTTGTAGTTTTTGTAGTCTAACGGTGTCACGAAATTATATCAAAGTTTTTTACTTACATGCAAACATACCATAAAGTTATCTACTTGCCTAAGTTCCTCAAACTCAGTAATTTTATCTCAATATTTAGCTTTATCGTATCAATTCTACATGACTAATGAACTAATTAGTTCCAAGTAAATTAACATAACATATCACATAAACCATAAAGAAAAATCTAGTAAAAACGTGCTCTTAATTTTCATATAATTTTTATAATCTTGTATAATTTTTTTATATAATTTTTATATAACATCACTTAATAAATTGTACTTTTAATTTCTAATAAAATTTCTGTTTGAAATGCAATTTCACGATACAGGAAAACACGTAAATAGAATTTCCTTGCATCGGCAGTATGTTTGTATATATGTAACATTATGGGCCCGTATTATTCATCATTCCTGGACGTGGCAAAATTTCAGATAATTTATATACGGTTTACTCGTGAAGCGTGTTTATGACGAACGAGTGAATTTCCGCTACATGTCCGACACGACGTTCGATCGATATTTTCTTTAAGAAATATTCTAAATAGTGAATTCGCTATTTGAAAAAAAAAAAAGACTTTTAACCTTTAATAAGAAAAATGTCGGATCCGTCGAAGCGGATCGCGATCCGTAAAATTGCTCGACGAAGCTCGACGGAGAAACACCGTTTTGTTATAAAAACAATTTAAGGAACAGTTTAAAATTCCTGATTTCAACAATCAAATCGTTCGTTGCTCCTATCGACCGCTCTCGATTTAATGCAATTCAGAATACATATAGCGAATTATGAATAACTCGGTATGTCGATAGAGTTCGCTCTGAAATTATTGGCAGACTGCCTTTCGCCGAACAATCTCGAGCGATCTGGTTTAAAGCGCTTTATTCATGAGTCCATTCATTGCATGGAAATCAACTGGAATGCGATAGCGGGATCCGCGGCATTTAAGAATATCGGAATACACGAGAAGCGACTCTACATTTCGGTAATCGCAGGCAGGAATTATACTCGGAATTTGTCTTATCACGCGAGATATCACGGTAACGAAACTTTTTTTTTTTCACCAATTTTCCCCCGTGTTTTACCAATTTTCCCGCCTTTCTCTTTCTCGAGAGAGGACGTGGTAGGTATATCTGATACAGTTGCGGTCTCAACTTTGTTATAAATGTCTGGTTAATTATTTCAGGTCGCGACGAATTAACTCCACGACTAACTATACCACGAGATATCGTAAAACGTCAAAATTAATTATCGATGCCTGCATCGACGCGTTTTAGAGAACAAACTTGTGTTCTTCCTCTAGTGGAAGGAAAAAAAAAGTAGCGCGTTAAATCCGTTAATAAGCCAAATTCTATAAAAGCTGGTTGGCTCGAAGCTCATTAAATCGCAATATTCCGTCGAAAATTGGGTCTCCCTTATAGTATTTTATTCGTGATACACATTTCGATGTAATCGCGCCCGTGCATGTGTGTGTGTGTGTGCGGGTGTTGAAAAACAATACATCGTGTCGGTGTGGCCCACTTTACTGACACACTCGCGCTTTGTTCGAATGAGCGACAGGGTGTCGTTGCACCGCTTTAAATTTATTTGGGCCATCAGGAAATAGCAAAAAAATATCATTAATCCGCCACGCTAGATTATGCCCACAGAATTCTATTTAGATGCTTGAAACGCATTTATGCATTTGCACCTCGTAATAATCGGCTTTAAATTCTGATTATCGATGTAATCATCTATTTCATTCAATCGCTAAATTACTGAGCGCCAACATAAATTGAGAAATTTATCTAAAAAAGAAGCGTGTAAAAAGGAAGATAGAAAAAGATATTCGTCTAAAATTATAAAATTATATCTTTTCCATTTTTTATCTCATGATTTTATTTTGCAACAATAATTTTCTTCTTTTATATTACACATTTTATATCTTCTTTAATACAAGTTGTAAAGCTTTTACAATTTTTTTCTTGCAATATTATTATTATATCTTTTTTATAGTAAATCTCTCTCAATTTCTCATAAAATAATTTACGTTTCATAAAAATAAATTGTTATGATGATGAAGTAACAGTTGACGCAAGACGTTCCGCGCGATTCAACGTCATCTCGAGGCTCTCGTGGAAAAAAAGCCGGCGCAATAATAATGAATATAAGATAGTACTTACCTATCTGATGCGAGAGGAACGTTATCAGGGGCAGCACGGCGCGCAGCCATCCTCCTCGATGATCCTTCATGCTGGGTACTTCTGCGAACGGTATCGGATGGGTTCTTTTCTTGCCCTCCTTCACGAATGACGACGACGACGACGACGACGAAACGGCCCACGACGACGAAATGATCTCGTTGTGCCGCACTCGTCGCTCTTTCCTTATTGACAGTTACTCACTGCGACATCTCTACACTGAGCAACATCCATGAACGACGTACACGTCACCGTCATTCTCTCATAACTAATAATCGCGCACACCACTCATTTGTCGCCGCATCACATATCAACTCCGATAAAGTCCATCATTTACCGCGCGATGACAGTCGTCGATCTGTTACTCGATTATTGTTTTCCGGTGATAACTATCCGCAATCGCACAAATTTCTTCCGTTCTTTTTTTTTTTTTTTATTCGAGATAACTCTTGAATGACGTCACGCGATTCCTTTGTAGCAATCTTTTTTTCTATGATTCTTCTCTTGTGGATATCCAAACGAATCGACAGGCTATCAATACCTGTGCTTTGATAAGAACCGCCACGCTTTGATGGTCGTCGACGAACAATGCCCGTTCTCTTGATCTTCTTTGTGCGAAGTGCGTGTGGAAATTGTTTTTTCTCTCAAGATAAAACTCATGAATAATCTCCTTCTGAATGCCGAACGATTTCCTCCGTTTTCTCTTTATGACCGTTTTCTCCTCCTGTCGCTGCACTCGCACGAGAGACGAGTTGAATTTTCACGCGTCCGTTGATGCTCAGATGCTGAAATCACGAAGTGACGTCATCGTAAGTGCATCGCCAGAATTCTATTTCTTTGCCAACACTCGCTTTCTCACGTACAAGTTCGTGACATGCGGTTGACAATTATTGTCAATTTAACGAAGCACATACGACACCGCCCGACACCATTCTGGCTCGTCCAAAATTCGTCGAGCACACAAAACGAGATCGACTTTTAGCGGATTTAGCAAGAGCCTTTGATTCCTCTTCGCTCGTCTATTCTCGACTACTCCCGATGAAAGGATTCTTCGCGCCGAAGTTCATACAACTTTGTTGCTTCGGCAAATTAGGGCTATTTTAGAAATTTACTCGCTATGCGCTTCTATTCACGAGTTACGTGCCATTCTTCAAGTCCGTCTAATGGTACCCAAGAGAGGACTTTTCTAAACTCACATTGAAAGTAATTAATTATCGTGAGGCATGCGCGTTTTCGTACCGCGAGTACCACGTTAATTACCGCTCTTTTGATTCACTTCTTAATTGCTCGTATACTACGATTTATGCGCTCTGACACGTATCCTACGAGCCTTTACACGAGCTCTGTTTGATATTGGCGTGTCAATATGGAAAGACCCCTTTTTTTCGTTTCACATGGAACGAGTTTGGAATCACAATGAGATGCTTCGTGGCGCGTTAAACTACTCGATTTCGAAGCACCGACAAATATTTACCAGATCCGACACTATTCCGAATCGTTTTTGCGATGACGTCACGGGAATCGGTCTCGTCCGCAAAAAAAAAAAAAATGCAAGGAAATCCGCACTTTCTCGAGCACTCTCGTAGCACGCACGATCACTTATTTCTCGGACGATACACTTGTTCCTGGCTTCCGATCAACCCTTGTTTCTCCAGTTCTTCTGGTGAATCAGGTCGCTCTTACGAAAGATGCACGAGTCACAGTTTGCGTAATTGACACGAGGCGTTTCCGAGATCTCTTCCAGGCACTAAGAATGATCTAGCGCTTTTCGCTTCACACCCCGGGACATCGACCCTCCCGATAGAATTGCATTATTTATCAGACGTGCTGTGTGGAGTTTTACGACCCGACATTATCGATTGTCCGAACGACCGGTCCAGGTACACGCTTTAATTCACCGACGAGCACATCGACATCGTTTACGCCGCAACCTCGACGTCGCGACAATCGGCCTCTCAAAAATTCGCAAGACATAGAATAAATCTGTCCCGAGCAGGCGATCCTTTGATCATTCGAGATTAAGGGCAATCGGGCGGATTTGCTTCCCCAACAAAATTCCCCCTTTCCTCCTTTTTGCGAGCGGATCCGCTGTCATGTAGAACCAGCGTTTTCGGATTCTCACAGATTTGTTGTCGCGCGTGATTGAAGCCAGCTTTCGCGCGCGCCGCTGAATCTAATATGCGAAGTTTAAAGCTTTTCGAGGACGTCGCTCACGTCGATGATTTGATCGATCTGGGACGAGGATAGGAGTGCCCCGGATTTTAGACAGCCTTCTAATCCCGGCTCAAGAAACCTCCGTCTTTGGTTGACAGCGTGTCACCACGTTTCCCTTCCATGGATCGCGCTCCATTAACCCGAAGCAAGGGTATATATTAATCGTCGATTAATCTTGAATCTTCAGTTTTGCGATATTTCTTTCATCGCCGTCCACGTTTCGTTTTGCGAACATTCCGTAGAAAATAATGATTTTTCTCGTATCTGTAGCGTCCTGCAAACAAATAAAAAAAAAAACGGTTATATTAAATATACAAGTCAATTGAATCAAATGATTATTTAGAACAAGTTGTCCTTATATTTTATATTAATTCAGTCACAATGTTCCACTCAATTAGACAATACTCATAAATTAAATAAATTTTAAATAAAATCCTAAAAATTTTTCAGCAACAAAACCAGAAATTATTTAAATCCAAGCCAAAAGTTACATTTAACACAAATAACATACTAGATATAAGTAAAATAATATATAAATAAAATAAAATAATAATGATAGACCACTTTTCATGTTATTTGGGTAAAAAAAACTGTTTGCCGAAATTTGCGACGATAGATTTAGGCGCCGATAGAAATCCTCGGTAACCGACGAAAGTCCAGCGCGTAGGGTATTTAAACGAATCTCGACAGTTAGAATGTGAGTACAAATCCCGAGATAGTTAAGGCGTCTTAAGCATCTTGTATGTATTCGTCCAATCTGCACGAACGAGATGTAATTGGGTCTACCGCTCCCGCGCTCCCCCCCCCCCAACGCCCATTCCTCTCGCAAGCTAAGTTCGCAGCCCCGGAGGGGGGGGGAGGGGAGGGGAGATATATACCATCGTCGTCTACCAGGTGCACTCTCAAGTCCCCCGGATTAAAGTGCCGGAGTGCGAGTGCCGCAGAGTCACTCGTATAACTCGGTAGTTTAAGATTGACCGCGGAGTGACTCGATTACGACATACCTCGGAGCTTCGAAATTCGGTGGATTTTAGGATTTACTACACCTTGCCGGTAATCAGCCGCATTTCCGTTCTGGATGGATAATTGGGACAGCTCAGTTAAAACCTCTAACCAAGTGAATCCTTTATTTCAACCCTCCTCCGGACTCTTAAGGTTTTATTACATATAAACCTCATGGCAGTTAAGCAATACGTATAAAAGATTAGTATTTTTCAAAAACGTACGTCTCGTTTCAAAATATAAAGTCTAATGAAATGTAAACATGAAATGAAACGCGACGCAAATGTTCCTGCGAAAAGGGTTATGATAATTGGAGGCCATTTGTTATTAAATGTTAACTCGCTGAATGTATTTCTGCGTAACTATATTTCATGACAAATCAAGAATTTATATGAATATATATATATATATATATATATACGACGAATAACAAATGTAGAATATATAACGCCACGGGATGAACATTGCTGGATTTGTACATCCAATTTCCAGACGACGGCGCTTAATAACCAAGGAACTTCGTACGTATGCGTGTTAATTAAAGTACACACGCGTTACCCGAATTTCCTAAACTTTAACTACTCCTCCGTTGACCAAAAGTTTAAATAGCTCGCTGCACATTCGGCTGGCACCAAAGAGAGGATATAGAAGGCATAACCTACGGCGAAAGGCATGACCGTTTGCGTTAGACTTGTTAGAATACTAACATTTTGTATGTATTCGCGAATACGTTAATTAACACATCACATATAATCTAAATGTTGCACGTGTGTGTGTGTGTGTGTGTGTGTGTGTAGTGTGT